GTATGTTGCTGAAACTGACTTGGAAGTCACTGTGTAGCCTAGGCTGGTCTTGAACTCACAGCGATCCTCCTGCCTCAGCCTCCTGAGTGTGCACCACCACGCCTGGTGAAAAACAAGATCCTTCAATATGTATCCATTTTCCTATGAATAAATCTATTTTCTCATTCTTTATGGCTGAGTAATATTCCATTTTATAGAAAAACCACATCTTCTTATTAGGATCTTATGTATTATTGCAGATTATTCACACCAGAGAAACTATTCGGTATTTACACATATGTGACTTATTTATTTCACTTAGAAGTATATCTTCAATATGTATCCATTTTCCTTTGAATGAATCTATTTTCTTATTCTTTATGGCTGAATAATATTCCATTTTATTTTAAAAGAGAAAGCAGATAGGTTGACATATGAGATTGCCATAAACCCAGAAAGGAGGTGACTGAATACTGTGGACTTAGGCATTTTCCAGCATTTTAATTTTTTTATTAGTGCATGTTAATATTATATAATGGTGGGGTTCATTTTGGAAAGTTGGTACATACATTTAACATTTATTAATCTACTTCAATTCCTTCATCATCTGTCCCCCCCGAGGCACGTTTCGATCCCAACAATGAATGTAACTGTACTGTATCCCTAAAATGTACCAATAAACTCAATAAAAGCTGAAAAAAAAAAAACACATCTTCTTTATCCAGTTTCCAACGGATGGGCAAATGGGCTGTTTCCAAAATTTAGCTATTACAAACTGTGCCACTCTAAACATGGGTGCACATGCTTCTCTATGATATGATTCTTTTACTTCTCTTGGAAAGATACCCAGCAGAGGGATGGCTGCGTCAAATGGAACCTCCAGTCCTAGTTCTTTGAGGTATCTCCATATTGATTTCCATAGTGGCTGCCCCAGTCTGCACTCCCACCAACAATGGAGAAGGGTTCCTTTCTCCCCACAACCCCGCCAATATTTGTTATTGTGTGATTTCTTGATAGCAGCCATTCTTTGTGGGATGAGGTGGAATCTCAGTGTTGTTTTCATCTGCATCTCTCGAATGATCAGTGATGTGGAATATTTTTTCAAATATTTTCTTGCTGCTTTTACTTCTTTGAGAAATGTCTGTTCATTTCAGATGCCCATTTTTGAATCGGGTCTTTATATTTGGGGGGATTGATTGTTTTGAGTTCTTTATATATCCTTGATAATAGCCCTTTGTCTGAGGAACAGCTGTTAAAAATTTTTTCCCACATTGTAGATTGTCTCTTAGTTCTGCTGATGGTTTCTTTTGAAGTACAGAAGCTTTTTAGTAAGATGAGATCCCAGTTGCTGATTCTATCTGCTAGTTTCCAATACATATTGAAGATATACTCCTAAGTGAAATAAATAAGTCACACATGTGTAAATACCGAATAGTTTCCCTGGTGTGAATAATCTGCAGCAATGCATAAGATTCTAATAAGATTACTGACATTTAGAAATGGGAAGAAAGGAGCTAAAGGTGTAGGGAAGGTGTGATGGGTAGGGGCAGGGTAATAAGGGAAAAGAAAAAAATGTGAGAGAATGAAAAGATGAAAATAAAGTGTTTGTAGATGGGGAGGGGAGGAGGGGGTGAAGGGAGGGCAGAGATAAGGGGAAAAAATGAGAATCAAGACTTGTCATGTAGAGGTACAAGATCTCAACAATGAATGTAACTGTACTGTATCCCTAAAATGTACCAATAAACTCAATTAAAGCTGAAAAAAAATTTAAAAAATAATAAAAAAAAAGAAGATTCTTAAAACTCAGCCTTGATTATTTCAATAATGAGAATTCCTTTCTTGCTAAGAAGTGAATTGTAAATACCTCAAAACCGGCTGGGTATAGTAATTGAATAAATTTCTTAGTTCCCAGTTATTGTCAGAAATAAAATAAAGGCAACTGAACTTTAGTTATTGAGTTTAGTGAGCTGTCATAAAAAAACAAAAGTCTTACATTACAGTTAGTGATGTAATAATCTTAAGGTTTATTATAAAAGTTATCATTTTGATTAAAAAAAATGAAATCTGAGCTTTAACAGACACTTATGAAAGGACCTGAGTTTAACTGCTTTGTACCTGATAGTGTTGCATAATCTAAAGGAAAGTAGACAAAACCTAGCTTGAAAAAGAAGAGAAACTACTGAGAACCCCTTCCACCTCTATCCCTGAATGCACATCCCGGGCACTAGCCTTGCTGTGATCTGAACCAACCTCTTTACAGATAAATGAAGGACTCACAAGTTACTCCATCCTCAAAATTCTTCAAGCTCTTTTGAAATGTGAAGTCTGATGGCCTGAGCACTTTTTAAACTCTGGAAATGTGTTTTTTGTTTTCCCCCTAGTTTGGCACAAACTATTAGTCACTCCGTTGTGTATCCTTATTTTTACGTATTTGTTTACACTTTCATGTATCAGGTAGCCCAACAGAAGAACATTTTGAATATTGTATATTCATTTATAATAATTTAATCTTTCATTTAGATTTGTAAAATTTCTTCTTGTGGATATGTATACATGATTGTGCATAAAATATTGCTCTAATTAATGGTAACAAGGGGGAAGTACATATATGTTATCACTGAATGAAAGATTGTAAATTAAATGATAATGTTCTCTTTGAAAAATTTTAAGTACACAGAAAAAGTTTAAAGCAGGGCTGAACACCATAATGTTCCACATAAGTCATTAATTGTTATCATTTTTTTAAATGTTTGCTTAGTTTATCTCTCTACCATCTGCCCCTCTCTCCACACAGACGTCCTTTTTCTTGAATACTTTAGAAGCTGCAGATATGATATTTTGCCCTAAGTACTTCATCATAAATATAACACTTACCTTACTTAGCTTTCAAATTCTGCATAACCAACTATCAGGCCATATTCACATTTTCCCAATTTTCTCCCCCAGAGGGCTTATTTTATTGAAGGAGAGTTACTTAGTTTACCTGCCAGATTTGGGTTTCATATTCTTTTATAATTGTTTTAATCTAAAATTATTTATTTTCTCTGTGATATTTTGATTTTTTTGTTTGTTTGTGTGTTTGTTTGTTTTTTGTTTTTTGAGACAGGGTCTCACTATGTAGTTCATACTGCTCTGGTACTCAATATGTAGCCGAGGCTGGTCTCAAACTCACAGCTATCCTCCGGCCTTGGCCTCCCATATGCTGGGATTACAGGCATGCGCCACCACGCCCAGCTTCCATATTGAGTTTTTTAACAGTTTGGAACATACCATTTAAATATACAATTCCTTTTATTCACTTGTCTTCAAATAATTATTTTAATCTAGTAAAGCTGTATTTCAAATCATTTTAACTATCATATTTGAATGATATATACATATATATATATATATATTTTTTTTTAAGCTTTAAAAATGCCTACAAAGTTCTTATTACAGTAATGGCTCTAAGTTTCAAATTATTTTGTAGAACTTTTTTTTTTCCTTTTTAACAAAAGAATCCATTGGCTATATTTCTTGTTATATTATTTGGAGGTTCCATTGGCTCTTGAGTATTGGATATCTTAATGATAAGCCTAATTGCATGACCTTATTGCAAGTACTTTTTATACACACCTGTGCACAAGCTGCCCTACAGCAAGAATAATATGAGAATCTAAAATTATCTGGAGTGATCAAAATGACCTAAAGAATAATGTAGAATCGCATAATGTTTTTTAATGATACCAAGTTGCCAACTCAAAAGTCAGTTTAACTAAAAAAAGTTTTATCAGTATATGCAGGTGAAACTGGCTATCTTCTCAATAATAGTGTAATGGAATTAGCTTTTAATCTGTAGCCAAATGATCATTCTGCACCTTATAGGTGGCCTAGGACTAGTGAGCAGCTCACTGTAGGATTTATATGCAATACGGAATTGTGTTTCTAATTTTTACAATGTCCACATTTTTCCTTTTGTAGTTTCTATTCATTTCCTTTGATCTGTATTATTTGATTTTAATCCCCCTAAAGATTTGTGTTTTCTTATGGCTTTTTGTTTTATCCCTTTGTCATTACACATTAGAAAATCTCCATTTTTTTAGAAGATATGGAAGATGAGTCGTTCATTTGATGACCCTTACATTTTTGCTAATCATTCACTTGCTTGTTAATTATGCCTTTTTAAAAAGAATTAACAACCATGTTTAAGCAGCAAACCTGAGGCGTCCCACTTGTTTACCTTTTCTATGTCCTTAAATATCTGTACTACTTCTAATTCTTATACTCCTCCACCAACTCTAACCCATAATTTATTTAATCTTACTAAACAGAGGAAAAGGAAATATGTGTTTTCCTATAGAAGTAAATTCTTGAGAGATACTAGAGGAATTTTATTTGGATGTGCACCTTTAGAAGTTTAGCATGAAATTTCATGGCAAATATTATGGAACAGGACCATGATTAAGAAGAAACAAAAGAAAAAAGGATTCACCCATTACTGGAGGAGAAGATGGCATGCTGGCTGGAAGGAAGTGGCATCTGTAGAAATCTGAGCATTTTCCAGGGAGGATCTCCGCCCACTGGTGGAGATTTCTTTGAACCGCTCCCAATCTCTCTGTGAACCCACCCACCTAACAAACCTGTTATTGTTCCTCCTCCCTCGGATCCTCTTATAAAAATCCGCCTTTCCTGATGCGATGCTACCAACCACCCACAGTTTGACAAGACAGGTAAGTGGGAGTTGTGTGACGAGGAAAGCCCTAGCAAGGGTTGGACTTTTCCATTTCAGGAGAAAGTGAGGAAGGACCCTGAGCTCAGCTAACACAGGAGGTTTGAGACTCAGCAAAGCCTGCCCTTGGTTGGAGTCCTCAGGGGGAAAACAAGGGACATAGACCTAAAGTCATTTCAAATTATAGAAAGGCAGGGATGTAATGACGATCAGTATATCTCTGCGGGACTAGACAAAGGAGAAGGGAAAAGGCAACGCCTATCCTCTCATGACCACATCTCCTTCAGAGACTGTGTTCTCACCCACAGACAACATGCTGGCTCCCGTGGCATTATGCAGTGTATCCTGGTTGCTGCTTTCCAGTCTAATGCTCCTATCTCAGGTGCAAGGTAAGATTTCTCTACTAGAAAGGGAGAGAGGCGCCGCGTGTCTCTTGTGCACTGGTGAGCTCTACCGCACATGAGGAAACTGCCTGAAATTCTTCCATCATCTTTCTTTCTTTCTGGTTACCAGTACTGGGGGGGTCACAAAAGAGTCCATTATAAATGGAACCAGGTGGCCTCCCACTTTGCCAGGGATCACTAATTTATGAAGTTGGATTAAAGTTCAAAAGTGTTGAACATCAGTGGTGATGTTTATGGAAGGGTAAGTATTGGAGAACACAATGTAGGAACTGTCAGACAATAGTTGTGGGCAATTCAATGAGAGAGGAGGGTACCATTTGATAAATCTCTCCATATAAGAGACCTATCTCAATATCAAAAGAGCACGGTAAAAGGAGATAGGAAGTCAGAATTAGTCTTAATATCCAAGGGTAGTCCTCATAGCTGTTTCCTAAATTAACTTGCCCACCCATCACCATTCCTCATTTCACACATGCCCCTCTTTGTCACCCTCCACCCCAGGTGAAGACTCCCAGGACACACTGGCCTCAACACGAATCAACTGTCCCAGAGGTGCAAAGGCCTATGGCCCCTACTGCTATTCCCTCTTTAGAACACCTAAATCCTGGACTGATGCAAATGTGAGTGCTTAGAGATCCAGTGGGGAGTCACAGGATAAGGGACACGTGGGTTACAAGGGAGGAGGTTTCTAAACTCCAGGGTTATGAGAGTGTGAACCACCTACCTTTGCCTTGCTGTATCCCACTGAGATCTCATGCTGTTTTATGCTCTCTCTTCTCCATGCAGTTGGCCTGCCAGAAGCGGTTCTCAGGACACCTTGCATCAGTGATCTCTGCAGTTGAAGGGGCCTTCGTGTCCTCTCTAATCAAGAGCAGAGGAAGCACCTACCAATACGTATGGATTGGGATCTATGACCCCACAATGGTATGATTTCCGCTTTGCCTCTCTATTACCTATCAGGCAGCTATTTACCATCCAAGCTCATTCTCCTGTGCCTACCCAGAAAGAATGTCCAAGGCCACAGAACTCAGATTCTGGGAGACATTTCAGACAAAAAGAAATCCTTAATGCCAGATGAAGAGTTGGGGTTTGTGGAGATCCCTAGCTTTCAGATTTTGTCCTGTTTCAAGTGTTACGCCATTCTCACATGGAGCTCTGGAAATCAGTTTCCTGAACTTCATGAAATCTGCACATATTATTTCAAGGGAATCTTAAACAGAGATGATATCAATATTTGCTCTTTATAGGGCAAAGATTTTTTGTGAAGTTCATAAGAAACTCCAAATATACCACCAATCACATTCAGCAAGAAACATGATATTGTGAACGGGCCCAAAGTCTTGTGATTATTTTGGAGGGGGATTATTATAGTGAGTGAGGGATTCAGGGAGAATATTTCATTAGAAGTTCTGAGTAGCCCATGGAGAAGCAGACCAAATTCCATGAGCCGGGGGAGGGAGTCAGATGTTCTAGTAAAGGGATCATGAAAGCAGAGGTTAAATTGCCATTTCCTTCCCCTGGCTGCATCCTCTACTCTATAGGGCCTAGAATCCAATGGACTTGGATGGGAGTGGAGTAACAGTGATATACTGGATTACACTAACTGGGAGAGGAATCCTTCCAGTGGCTCTGACCACGGTTTCTGTGGGAGCGTGTCACGAGCCTCAGGTGAGTGATAGGAGCCATCTCTGCCCAGCCTTTTCTACTACTTTTCCCCAGTCCTGGGCTAGACCTTCAGGGAATCCTGGTGAGCTAGGAAATGCAATGATAGCTTGTCTCCTCCTGTCTCTTCTCATCTCCCCTTTCTTTTCATTTCCTTTCTCTGAAAGGGACACTGGTCAAGATGATGTAGAGGCAGTAAAATCTAGGCCCGGACCCAAGGTGTTTCTTTATTGGATCTGTATGTTCCAACAGCCACATTTACTTTAATTCTTTTGTCTCTCCAGGATTTCTGAAGTGGAGAGATTACAACTGTGCTGCACAGTTACCCTATGTCTGCAAGTTCAAGGGCTAGGGTGGATAGCAGTCTGAATTTGCACGCAGCTAACCATGAGCAAGAATCAGGTTCTGGAGATTCACCCAGGAAAGGAGTTTTCTTCCTCCATGCCCAAACCTGACCCCAGCTTCTGATCTTCCCTCTTCTAGTTTGCTTCTCACTCTACTTTCAGGTCTTTCTGTCGTGCATTTTGGCCAGAGGTTTCAAAGAGAAATAATAAAATTTTAGCTTAAACTTGCATGAATTTCTGGTCTTTTAATCAAAAGATTCTGTGTAGGCGGGTGGATTAGCTGAGGATGGCAACTCTGAGACTTGTGTCTTTTTAATTCTATCAAGGCCAACAGGAAGTGTGCATCTGTACCAGTGTATTTTGATGAGAATGCTGGTATTGTTCATGGAGAGCTGTGTTGTGTTTTCAGCTGAAGGCAATGTCTTCCAACCCACCCCCTGCCCCTACATTCCCCCTATGGTGTGACACACCAGCTGTAGGGTCTTCTGACTTTATTAGACAGTGTTCCTCAAGTTATTATCTGTGAAGTATCATCTTAGTAAGCAATCCATCATGAACTGTGACTTCGGTAAAATATAATAAGAAATGAATGACTGCTTGTGGTTACAGTGCTGACAAAGGGTCAGTGGACATGGTTACTCCTTTCAGGCACACAAAAATTCTGAAGATATTTTAAATCAATACTTTTTCCTTGGGCTAATCAAGGAAATAAGGTAGCAAGCAAATATCCTCCCTGACTTCTTCAGAAACATTCAAATACACATAAAGTCCATTTAATTTCTGCTTACCTGGACCAGAAATCTGTATAATCATAGATTGTTAGTGATATATAAATTGTAATTTTGAAAAGTTACTTAGGGCTGAGTATGGAATGACATTATTAACAGTGAAAAATTAGTGAAGGTTAATAGATATGGGGAGGTTTCTACCCCTTCATGGGTTTTACCCATCACAGTCTTATGAAGAAAGGTCAAGAATAATTTGCTCATGACTCTGGCAGGAAAAGGAAAAAACCAACCATTTGTGTTTAGCTTAGAACATTTTCTGTACAAAAGGCCTCCTTCCAAGTAAAAATGCCTTATCAAGATCTGATCATGGGTAGAGGTGAGGTAGTTAGTTACCCAACTTGAATGTTTTCTACACTTCTTTTGTTGCCTAAAGTGGAGAGAGGTAAGAACCCCCTTTGAAGATTGTGGCTTTGGAACACAAAAATATCAATATTTAATCATAAGATTATATAATCCTCCCTCTTATACAGATAATACCACATGAATAGGGACCAGTATGACCATAATAACTAGCTGGAAGAGTTGTAAAGTACAGAATTTATTTAAGAAGGGACTCATTGGAAATTCCAAAATCAACAAGAGAAATAAAATCAATGTCACTGGAGAATTTTAACCTCTTGGCTCCCTAGCTATAGCAAATGGCAAACAAAAACCAAGGCTAACAGAAATTTACATTAACCTTGTAGCTATCCAAAGAAATTATTATTATTATTATTTTTTTGGTATCAGAGATTGAACTCATGACCTCACACTTGCTTGGCAGGCACCTTGCCTCTGAGCTACATCCCTGGCCCCCTATCTAAAGAAATTACAAAATTTGCTTAAAAGAAAGGACAAACTTAGCCTGAAGGGGAAAAATCAAGCATCAGAACTGAACTCAGATATGACACAGATTGTGGAACTACATATGATACAGGGAAATAAAGTATGTTTAATGTGATAAACAATTTTATTTGAAAAATAGACAGTGATAAAGAATATAAGCAGAAATATGACAATTTCATAAAAACCAAAAAAAATTATTAAAAAAACCCACAAAGCAAAAACAGTATAACAGAAATGAAGGATGATTTGTTCCTAAGTCACATGGATTCAGGCATGTGAAAAGTCACTGAGCTTGAAGATTTGTCAATTGTAACTTCCCAAATTTAAATGCAAATAGAAAATAGAGTGAAAACCTGAAACAGAATATTCAATGACTGTGGGATAATCTAAAGATAAAACTTATGCATAATAGTAATTTTTTTTGTTTGTCTTTGTACCAGAGATCGAACTCAGGTCCTTGCGCTTGCAAGGCAGTAGCCAGAGCCACTGAGCTAAATCCCCAGCCCCATAATAGTAATATTATGAGACGAAAAAGAGAAAGGGCAAAAAAAAAAAAATTCCCCCATACACATACAACAAGAATATTGCTTGTGAAACATTCAGCATATGTTATCTGTGTGATTGGAAGTGGGCTTCCATAGGATGGCCTCCAGTACCTCTTAGCTGGAGACTGTGGCAGGCAGAGAAACTTGGGTCTGTGACAAATATGGAGAGAGAGTTAATTTAAGCAGGGGAGATATATGAAAGGGGAGACACCGGTGCCCAGATCAGAGAGCGACTCAGCAAAGCCAGAACACATTATTGTCCAAAATAAATATATGAGGCACTCACTGATTATTTCTCCAAAAATTGGAAAGGCCTGAAACCGCTTGAGGTCCTGCCCACCTCCCTATGCCGGGAAAGTGGGGTCCTCAGCCAAGCTTAAAGTCAGCACTGGGTTCTGCAGGTAGGGCTGAGACTGACACATATCTATGGGTAGAGGGCTGTGGATTTAGCTTGGGAGCACTGTACCTGCCTGGCAAACACAAGGTCCTGAGTTTGATTCCTGATACCTCATGGCTTCAGGCAAGCAATTGCCTAGCCCACAGGGAGAAGCTCCATGGCTCATCTCAGTCAGACTCAATCTCTCTCAAACCACCTCAACACTACCTGTTTAACTAAGCTATAAAAGTAATTCAGCAAAGTCTGACCTCCTACTTTTTACCTGTTGACATTTTTCTTATCTTGCTTTCCTTTCACTAACATACAAACTTCATTTTCTTCTTTTTCTCTCCTTTCCCCACATCTCAGACAAACCACAAACAGCAGTATAATATAATATTATATGCTATGGGTACTGACAAAAGGGTCAAATTATAACAAGTTTTAATGTTAATAACTGATGTATGGTTTATCTGTGGATACTACTACAACCAGTAGAAATTCTCTCCTTACAACACAGTAACAGGGCTCAACTCAATTAAACTAAATAGTTTGAAGTGGTAAATAATATTTCTTGACAAATAAAGTCAACAGCACAAAACTGAAAAACAGAATCTAACTAAAAAGGTCTTCATGCCAACAACAAACTATTTGACCTCAACCCATAGCACATGCACAGAAAAAAATAGGAACATAAAAATCAAGGCAAAAAAGTTCTCCCAAATAGTGCCAACTTAATTGTAGGCTAAAAATCACAGGATGAAAAACAATATTCCATGCACCAGAACCCTGAAAGCAAGCAGGGGTAACAGTTTTATTCTTAGACAAAATAAACTTCAAGCTAAAAATGATCATAAGAGGCAAACAAGGTCACTAAATATTAAGGGAACAATTCAACAGGAAAAGATAACAGCTTAAATATATATGCACTGAATATTGGTGCACCTACCTTCATAAAACAAACATTACCGGACATAAAAGAGCACACAAATGCCAAAACAGTCATAGTGGGTGACCTCAATACCCCACTTTCACAAGTAGATAGAACAACTAAACAAAAATTAACAAGGAAATATCAGAGTTGAACCACACCTCCAAACAAATGAATTTAGGAGATATGTACAGAGTGTTCTATCTTACCGCAACAGAATATCCATTCTTCTCAGCAGCACATGGAACTTTATTCAAAAGGCATCATGTACTTCTTCATAAAGCCTGCTTTAAAAAGTACAAAATAATCAAAATAATCCCAGTTATACTGATCCCAGGACACTAAAACTAGAAATCAATTGTAAAAGAAACCACAGAACATTTACAAACATCTGGACACTAAATAATGCAGTTATAGATGCACAGTTTGTAATACCTAAAACTTGGAAAGAGCCCATTTGCCCATCAGTTAGAAAATGGATAAAGAAGATGTGGTTCTTCTGTAAAATGGAATACTACTCAGCCATAAAGAATGAGAAATTAGATTCATTCATACATATTGAGGGTATACTCCAAGTGAAATAAATAAGTCACACAAGTGTAAAAACCAAATAGTTTCTCTGGTGTGAATAAACTATAATAGTACATAAAATCCTAAGGTATAATTGACAACATGAAATAGGAAGAAAAGGACTAAAGTTGTAGGGAAAGTGGGAAGGGTAGGGGAAAGGTAATAAGGGAAAAGAAAAAAATATGAGAAAATGAAAACTGGAAAGAAAGAGTTTGTAAATGGGCAGGGAAGGAGGGGGTGAAGGGAGGGCAGGACAAGGGGAAAAAATGAGAACGAAGACCTGTCAAGGTACAAGATCCCAATAATGAGTGTAACTATATTATATACCTAAAATGTATCAATAAACTCAATGAGGAAAAAAAAAGAGAAAGAAAATACACAGACTCCAACTGTGCAAGAGGAGAGTGAAGAGGAGGAGGTTGATGGAACAGGTGTGGAAATTAAGGACATAGCATTGGTTATGCCACAAACAAATGTGTCCAGGGCAAAGCCATCCTAGCCCTGAAGAAGAACAGTAATGATACTATAAATGCTACTGTGGGACTAACAACGTAACCAACTGAAAGGAGGACTTTTTTTGGTGTTTCAAAAAGGTCACTGCAGCTTGGTTTGAATTGTTTCTATCACTATTGAAGTTATGAACTATTGGATAAAAAACAAAAAGTTGGCTAGGGGTGGTTGGTGAACTAAGGACACAGTTGTGATTCAAGTGTTTGGAAACAAGACCATACACTGACTTTTGTGAGTCCAAGGAACTTTTACTTTTGTGGGCTCTATGTCCACTAAAAAACTCATTTAAATTATATTTTATGATATGCTGGTTGAAGATAAATATATACATATATTAACATATTGAAAGGGTGCATATTTCAGAGAAAAAAATCCAAAAAAAAAACAGTCCTGAACACTCAGCGGGCCACAGAAGAAATAAAGGTAGAAATTAAGCAATTCCCAGAATTAAACAACTATTCCAGTACAACACACC